CTTTCTGAGTGTGGCACATCTGTAAGATAATCAAAAAATACAGTTCTCCACAACTGATTCAGACAGGCACAGATAATAATAATAATAAACCAGCAACATGCTTGCCTCAAATAGAAAAGGGTGATATGTAGACATTGACTTCATTATGAACTTATGGCCATCAAAAATAGCTCAAGAGTAGTTGCAGAGTCTTATATTGTCCAAAGTGTTCAGCAGTTGGAGCTTTGTGACATAGAACATTTCCCCATAATTGGCCCTGATCAAATCACTGATTTGATTCTGAGGCAAATTCTGAATTTTCTGTATATAGTCTTAGGCGTGAGGATCCTTACACCATTGTTCTTGTGAGTCCTTTAACTAGTCATCTGGAATTATAATAATTAAAATAATTGCAAAGCTTTCCAAAGGGATAACACTTTAAAGGAAAGTGGAATGATCACTTGGCTATATTCAAGTTTTTAGGACAAAGCATTGACTCATTTTGTCAGGGTTCCAAGTAACACCCCTAATGAAAGGAGACTCTGAGGCTTGAGTTCCCTCAAAGTTCCATTTTATTATAGATGTCATATTGGCACATCTGGGAAAACCTGAATCTGAAAGTTTCCAAAAGAAAAAGAAAAAGAAAGTTCCTGCCCAGCACCCACATGCCCATCACATGATCCAATCAGGCACCATCCAAACCTGGAGATGCCTCCCAGTCACCTCATCGCAGTTGCAGGGCACAATGGCCTTGACTTTCTGAGAAAGAATTTTATTATGACTATAATCACCCACACTCTGTATAATCCCCCCTCCCATTTTCACACAGTAGAAAACGTGGCAGGCCTGAAGCCTCAAAGATGGCCTCCAGATCTGACACATTTATTATGACTTCTTGGTATCAGGAAAAAAGCAGAGGCCATCAGATTTGCTGTTGGTTGATTTTATGAGATATTTACAGGTACTCCAGATTTTGATGGTCAGTGCACACTTCTATTGGGTGGTAGGCTGCCTCTAAATGATAATTCCAAGTTTCAAAAGCTATTTTAATGGCTAAAGGTTTGTTAAAATATGCTCCAGAGGTACTGAGAAGAAAGCAACGTTTAGGAAGAAGGATCAATAATAATTTGCAAATCCCAGGAACTGTTCCAAATGAGGATAAAGGCTCATTTGCTCATCCTACACCCAAGTACAGATATTCGCCACTGTTCCAGATCCTTGCGTTTTTGTGGGGCCTGCCAGGAGAGAATTGCCTCTAATTTATTTGGGATCATGCTGAAGCCAGCTGAGGAAGTACCATAACCAGTGGTGGGATTCAATTTTTTTTTACTACTGGTTATGTGGGCGTGGCTTGGTGGGCATGGCATGGCTTGGTGGGTGTGGCTTGGTGGGCATGGCAGACGAAGGATACTGTAAAATCTCCATTCCCTCCCGATCAACTGGGACTCGGGAGGCAGATAATAGAGGGGGGAGGGGCCAGTCAGAGGTGATATTTACCAGTACTCCAAACTACTCAAAATTTCCATTACCGGTTCTCCAGAACTGGTCAGAACCTGCTGAATATCATCTCTGGCCATAATCCAGAAAGTCAATTGTTGCTTGATCAAACTCACATTTTTCCAACTAGGTGAATGGTTGATCCACACAAAGTCACTGTAGTACCAGAAGGACATGAAGTGCTGAGCGGGGGAGTCTGAATATATGAAAATGTTATTGAGATAATGTGACATTTGTCCAAAAGGTCTTGAAAAACAACGTCCATGGACTGTTGAAGAACCCCAGGAGCGTTAGATAGTGCAAAGGCATGACTGTATGCTAGAAATGGCTGTAGCAAGTGCAAAAGGCAGTCTTCCATTCATCTCTTTCACAGATCAATACTTGGTTGTAAGCACCCTACAGATCCAGCATGATGACTATCTTGGCTGCACAAAGGCAGATCCAAAATTAGGGAGAGTGGATGGTGATTGAGTGATCTAGTTGAGGGCCCCAAAGTCATTGCAGAATCAGAGCTCCCCAAGTTCTTTTTTACAATTAGCATTGGACAGATAGTTGGAGATATATATATATGGATGGATAGAGCTTCTTTTTCCAATTTTACCTCTATAGTCTCAAGTGTCTAGTTCAGGTTCTGAAAAGTGAATACATATGGCCAACTGCAAGATTAATTGGAGAGTCATAGGGTCTATGGAAATGCAGTTGATCTGCTTTCTTTTCTCTGATTGCACCTTGGGATTCAGCATACTTGGTGGATAAGTCTGGACAAAATTCCTTGGTAAGTTTAGCTGCTAAAGTCTCTCTAGATAAATTCATGTG